TGCCATGTCCTTCAAAGCAGCCTGAACTTCTTCTTTCATCACCATAGGCTCTTGCTCATATGTTGTTTCATGAAATTCTTCTGTGTCTTCCAATTCTTTTCGATACAGTGACTCAGTATATTCCTTCCATAACTTAAAACTATTCTTCACAAACTATTTATTATGAAAGACAAGGAAAGGTTAAAGGAGACTAATAACCATGGCAACTAAATGTCATGTATGATCTGGATAAAAGCCTATAAAATATTATTAAAATAAACAGTGATATCTTAATATGGTCTGTGAATTATAAAGTAATATTAGATCAGTATAAATTTACTGAATTTGATAGTAGATTATAGAAATACAGAATATTAACATTTTTATAAAATGCAAACAGAAGTACTTAAAGATAAGGAATATGCCTGTCTTCAACTTATTCTCAACTGGTTCAGCACAACAACCAAAAAACTATGCACACAGACATATGCAGAAAGAAAAGGCCAACGTGATGGAATATCAACAAGTGAGGTACCTGGATGAAGAGTACCTAATAAATCTTAAATTTAGTTAAATTTTAAGTTTGAAATGACTTTAAAAGAAAACATTTTAAAAATATAGTTAATAAAAGGATTCACTTTAAAAAATAACCTGAATGAACATTTTGGAAATTCACATGAGCATATATAATTTGGTCAGTGGTTTGTAAAGTACCCATGTCTTAATTCTATCACTTATGAGCAAAAATAATCTATACAGAGTATAATTAAGAAATAACTTACTATCTGCCTAATGGTTTCTTGACAAGTTAAATATAATGATCAGCAGAAATGGTTAAGCAAACCTAAGATTTAACATGACTGCTGAGGGAAAGTTGGGTGGAGTGCTGTTTTTAACTTCCTAAAAGTCTTATGAGTTGTGGTGCTGAGGAAGAGTCTTCAACATACCATGGACTGCCAAGAAAATAAATAGGTCTGTCTTAGTGTGAAACCAAGTTTCTCTTTGGAAGCTAGTATTTTGAAGCTCCATCTCACATACTCTGGGCATTATGACCAGGAGGGAACTGTTCCTTGGAGAAAGGACATCATGCTCAGAAGGGTGGAGGAATAGTGTAGGAGAAGATGACTCCAGATGAGGCAGACTCCTAAATAACTGGAGTAATGGGGGTTGGTGTGTCTGAATCAGTGAAACTGGCTCAGGACAGGGCAGGCTTCAGAGCTGCTGTAAATAGGGTCGTTATGGGTCATACATAGGTGATTTGATAGCAAATAACAAAAACAACAATAAAGTCTTATGTGTGCTTCTGTTTATAAATACTATATTCTAAAGTTCTAAATTAAGTTATAATATGTGCAAGTACTTAAATATAATAAAGTTCTTTACAAATTTATCTTTAGGAAAAAAAATTATTCACTATTTGTATTTGAGATCTAATAAACTTATTAGCAATTATAGAAAATTACCTGGACCTTCCTCTAGAACTGCCAGAGAGAAAGCATTCCCCTAGAGGGCTTCAGCATCACAGCAACCACGAGTTACCTCTGTACAGTAACACACAGACCAGTGCTATACCACCTTGAAGAATGTTTGACAGGAAGACAATTTGACCTGAGGGCCCTGTGGGCTTAAGGCCGCCTCCTGGTTTAAACCCTAGGCACAGGCTGGCCAGCCTCACTCCGGGGACAGAGCAAACCTGCATGTCAAACACATTCCCGGAAAAGCAGTCAACTCCAGAAGCTTGCCACAAAGCTTGCCATGATTCCTGCACTCACACCACCATGCTCCTTCTGGCAAGGAGAACTTCTCAAGACGCTGGGAGGAGCCAGTAAACCAGGAACAACATGGCTGCTTCTCTCCTCTCCCAGCTGCCTCTGGGCTTAACGCCGCCTCCTGGTTCAAACCCTAGGCCCAGGCTGGCTGGCCTCACTCCAGGGACAGAGCAAACCTGCACGTCAAACACATTCCCGGAAAAGCAGTCGACTCCAGAAGCTTGCCACCATTCCTGCGCTCACACCACCATTCTCCTTCCTTCTGGCAAGGAGAGCTTCCCCAGATATGTTGCTAGGAGAGGATATTCCTTGGAGAAAGACCTCATGCTTGGAAAGGAGGAGGGATGACAAAAGATCAGCAGACTCTCAATCAGATGAATTACCACAGTGACTACAACAATAGGCTCAATTATGTCAGAGATTGTGAC